AATAATTGCATGTACATAGTGAATATGATTTGTTGTCTTCAAAGTCATTGTTTAGAAAGTAGTTAATATACAACTAATAACAACGTCAATTGAATAACATTTTTGTCTTTGACGTTATTTGATTTTGAGGGTTTAATGATTAGCCATTTGCTAACTTAAATTCTTATACAAGTTTCCTTTTTAAAAAAAAAAGAATAAAAGAGGTTTATTTCACATATAAATTACCTTCTCGTATGCAACAATTTATGATGTTAATTGAGTAGCGTTTCTACCTTTAATATCATGTAAATCATATATTTTTAGGGTAAAAAAATATTTATGAATTTATGTAATTTTGCATGATTAATTAAAGGTACTATTTTTACAGGCGTCATAGGGTGTTAATACCTTCCCTATACGTAATTGACTTCCGAACCCAATTTTGATTTTAAAGAGTTTACCAATGTTTTTTCCCTTAAAATAAAATATTGGTGGCGGCTCCATTGAAAAAATAATGTTTGCATCATCCCGTCGTGATCCCAATTACGAAAGATGGCGACTCTACTTGGAACATTTGAGAGTCAAGCCTTATTAAATTAATTGTGCAAAATTATGACTTTATAAATATTGATTTTACCCTTTTTTTTTATTTTTGTTTTATTTTTTTTACACATCCTTTGTTGGATTTAAGCTTAAATTAGGGTTTTATTTATTTATTTGTTATACATTTTTCTTTACCTCTCTTTTGTGAGATTTAGATAATTTTTAGGTTTACATATTTGTTTGTTACCCCACACACCCACTAACCCTTGAACCTCACACACTTTGGGCTATATACCCGAGCCTATGCGAACCTAAGAAGAGAAGGTGGCTTGATGACTGTTATTGAGGGGCTTAATTCTTACTTGACCGTTGTTGAGTTACTCCTCAGGTTGTTACTAGTAGCATGGGTTAATCATATTGAGAGGGTATGTTCCCTACTTATGAGTAATTCAGGCACTAGGTGCTTGGTTATATGATAAGGGCAAGCTAGGGGCCAATAAATCTTAAGGAGTCTAAATCCACCCATAAAACCATGCACTAATAGGTGGACTTAATGACCTTCCAAATTAGGTTGTTAACCTTAGAAATTTGCTACCCTAGGTTTACCGTAATAGGTCACATTATACTACTATTTATCCCTCTTTTTATACATGTTCGTGCTAACAACAAAAAGCATGTTAATACATTCATGCATCATACATTTATATCCAATATCATTTTAGTATCTAGATTATTTTTCTTGCCCAAAATAAAATTTAATAAACAAATAAAAGATAAAAATGATGGAAAGCCATGCATACATGCATATTAGGGGCATATTAGGTTGCTTTTTTTTCATTTAACTAAGTCTTTGTCTTATTAACACTTTAAAACAATTGATAGTATTCAATATGGAGGAGATTCAAAATCATACTAGCAATGCATCAGGGAATGTGCTAAAAAATGATCTCCAAAGGGTAGGTAAGATCTGCCAAAATAATAACACATTTGACTTGATATATAACTTGTTTTAGACATCATTTATTGAGGAGAGAATTCTCCCTTGAGTGATTGTTAATCACATTTTGATCTTGAAATGCTTGTTCCTTGTTTGAAAATATGGCTCGTACTATTACATTGCTATTAAAATGACCTTATCCATTGAGGAGTGAATGCTCCCTTGAAATAAGTGTCAACTGTCGTATGACTTAAGAGGTTTTGCCTCTAGTGTTAAGATACGGGGAATTGCTCTTCAAATTGAATACAAAATCATTTTTTTTCCAAAAATTTGTTTCTTTTTCCTTTCCTTTTATACTCATAAGTTCATTTTGTACTAAAAAAAAATAATAAATCAAAAAAAAAAATTGTTTCCTCAGCATCCTTATAGGACACGCTCTCAAGCCAAGATCATGGATGAGATAGAGGAACACAATGGAGAATTGAGGAATGATGTCAATCAGTTGAAGGAACAAATGACCCAAATTCTGGAGATGTTGTAGTCTATGCAAATGAAAAATGTAGAAGGGAATCCTCCAATAGCCATAGGAGAATTGTCAACTTCTCCTGCATATCCACCTGGCTTTACCCCAATCCCATCACAACCATTAACTCTACATCTTAATAGACCCCGCCAACAAGTTGATCCTGTAGAGGTCTAATGGCCATCATATGGCCTTCCGCCTAACTACACACCTCCAACAATCATGGATCCTCCGAATAAACACCAACTATTGGTGAATCAGCCGCCTACACAACTGCAACCTACCCAACCTAAGAGTTCACCTATGAATTTAACCTCTTATCACTAGTACAAAAGGGGTCTTTAACGTTGGATATTTTAAGGATTTTACATTAGAAAAGGCTCCATCACAATGCAAGATGACCTCGGGCACGCGTTACGCGACGTCAGCTCGACATTTAGGCAGATCGTAACTGATCTCAAGGGATCTCGATCCAAACGAGATCCATTATCTAATCTTATCATATCTTATTTCAGGCCCAGGGCCCAAAGCAACCCTAATTCACATCAAGGTACGTGCATTACTTATACGATACTCATACTCCCACAAACCCTAACTTTAGCATCGGGGTCTCTTTTGCAGGTACCACCCCCGTCTTGGAGCATCAGCGTACCAGTGAAGGAGGCTCCCCAATCTTACTTGGCGGATCAGCTCTACAACGGATTTCCGGTAAGAACATTTGGCGTCCACCGTGGGGTCGATCGAGACAGCTCTTATCGGCCACGCTCATGGTATTCACTAGAAGCCATAGTAGACGCGCAACAGACGACGCAGAACATTCAACTGCCATGTATAACGAAGCCACATTGAGGAGACTGATCGACTAAGTCGAGCAGATGCGGCAGCAACACGATGCCGATCTATGCAACATGCGTGCCAAGCACAAAACCGACCTAGCGGCAATGCGGACCGCCAATGAAGCCGACCTGGCGGCGTTGCGCGCCAAGAAGGAGCGTATTCGCGCTCAACTCCCTCGGCGCCCCTCTGATCATCAGCCTCAGTCGAGCAACCTCCACGAGGAAGAAGCACACTCAGTCTCCCAATCCCGGACTGCAACTAGGGTTCCAACCCCTAGACCTGCTTCACATCGGTCTCATGCATCGACGCACAAGCTGACCCATGAAGTCAGCAAGGCCTCTACTCATGTCGCAAGAGATCAGGCAACTTTCCGCTGCCACCCTTTTGTGGATGGCATCATGGAGACACCACTCCCTCACGGGTGGAAGCCTCTCCACCTTGATCGCTACGATGGCACGACGGACCCGGAAGAGCACATCGACCTGTATACAACGCAGGTAAACCTCTACACTAACAATGATTCTATCTTGTGTAGGGTGTTTCCGACCTCACTGCGCTCAACTGGTACACCCAACTGCCTGCTGAGTCCATTGACAGCTTCAACACCCTAGTCAGGAGGTTCACCGTGCAATATGCGATGAGCTGACCTCACTATGTCACTTCAGCCGCCCTGGCTAGTCTTAGGCAAAACGACGACGAACCACTCCGGGCGTTCATGGAACGATTCGCCGCCACCTCGATTAAGATCAGGAACCTGAATCCTGAGGTCACCCTACATGCCATGCTCATGGCACTCAAGCCCAGGCCATTCGTCGACAGCATGTGTCGAGAGTCTCCCCGCGACATGGACGAGCTTCGCGCCTGCGCTGCAGGCTACATCCAGATGGAGAGACACTCCGCCTTCCGTGACCAGGTTCGCGGAAAAGGACCAACGAAGCCAGAACAGGGGCACAATGATAAAATCAAAGTCAACAACGACAGCCAATTTAAGAAGTCGGCTAGGGCAAACAGAGGGGGGAGATATGACTTCTACACTCCCCTGAACGCACCCAGAGTCCACATCCTGGAAGAAGCCAGCAACAGCAACCTACTCGCCCTTCCATCACCAGGCCACACTCCCAACAGTGCCGACAAATCCAAGCACTGTCGGTACCACAGGAACCACGGTCACACCACGGAGGAGTGTCGCACGCTCCGGGACCGTATCGAAGAGCTCATGCAGGCAGGTCACCTCGGCCAGTACATCCAGCGACAGCAGGGTCACCGAGGGGGCACTAGTGCAAAAATTGGATTTAAAATCGGAGTTTTAAGATCGGTTACCTTGTAACCGATCTTAAAAGTGTCGCGGTGGCAATTTTGTAAATAATATGACACTTTTAAGATCGGTTCAAATTTAACCGATCTTAAAAGTACTTTTAAGATCGGTTATTTTATGACCGATCTTAAAAGGTATACATTTAAAATCGGTTCAAATATAACCGATTTTAAAAAGTATTTTTAAAATCAGTTACATTTTAACTGATTTTAAATCATGTCTTTTTTACTACTTTTAAGATCGATTATAAAGGAACCGATTTTGTATACAACATTCAAAATCGGTTTCCTGGATAACCGATCTTAAAATGATAATCAATTTTCCTTTCTATGTTCCCTTTTACGTTTCAGCAATTTCGGCCTCACGTTTCAGCAATTTCGGCCTCCACTATCTCTGCTTTGTTCGTCCAGGTTCACAAAGAGGCAGCTGTCTGAAACCGTCCTGGATAACACTTGTAATCTCTCTGAATTCTCTGAAACCCTCCTCGCTCTTCCTCTCACTTCCTTCAATCCCCATTTCGCATTCGCACCGTCGCCTTCGCTTCTCTCCCAACCCCTAAACCTAACATCTCCGCACCCTGGCTCACCAAATCCCCCTCTCCCAAAACCCTCCCCGCCGACGACCCCCCTCCCCGCGCCGCCGCCAACAAGCCGCAGAACGCCGTCGAGAGAATCGTCCTCCGGCTACGCAACCTAGGTTTGCCCACGGAAGAAGACCAACAACAACAACAAGAAGAAGAAGAAGAAGAAGAAGAAAACGAATCTCCGGCGAGTAATCTGCCGCCGGTGACCGGAGATGAGAGGCTCGTCGAGCTGCTCCGGTGAGAGTGGGTTCGGCCGGACGCCGCGTTGGCAGCCGGGGACGACGAGGAGGGGGAGGGGACAATGCTGCCGTGGGAGAGGGAGGAGGAGAAGGAGGTGGTGGTGGTGAGTGATGGAGAAGAGGGTTTGAGGAGGTTGAGAAGAGAGGGGATGCGTGTGAGGGAGAGGGTTAGTGTCCCCAAGGCTGGACTCACTCAGGAGGTCATGGAGAAGATTCACAAGAGGTGGAGCAAGGAGGAGCTGGTGAGGCTCAAGTTTCATGAGGAGCTTGCAAGGGACATGAAGAAGGCTCATGACATTGTTGAGGTTCAATTTCTTGCACTTTCATGATAAACGCATAACATGGCTCTTGCAATTATTACTAGTTTGCAAATGATCCATGGACACCCTAGTGTCAATCTACACCTAGAAAGAGAGAGAAGAGTAAGAGAAGCTAGTATCTGATAAGTGATGTGATCTGATAAGAAGAGAGATATACAGATAAATGCATAGTGTTAGTTGAGTTTTCTTAGAATAAAGGTGTCAAAAAATATTACTCTTACTAGTTACTTCATTTCATTGTGAGAAGTTTAAATCATTTTAACTTATGAGAGAAGTTTAAATCATATTATCTTTTTATTTTCTTTTCCTCTGATTACTTATTGAGAAGTTTCTCTAGATAGGACTTTGGTGAGTTGGAAGTTGCTTTGGAATGTGCATGTTTGTCTTCCATGTCAATGGAGTCAGTAGGTTGTTACATGCTTCGTGATTCTGTGTATGTTGAATGTTTTGAATTTGTGTTGTGTTTGAGGAACACGTTGACTGATAGGATGTAGTGTGCAGCGTCGAACTGGAGGATTAGTTACGTGGAGGTCAGGAAGTGTTATGATGGTGTATCATGGTATTGATTACCAAGGGCCTGACTCGCGGAAGGAAGTTGTTGAGAAGAAAGGTGAGGGCTTTTTTGTGCCAGATGTATCGTCGGGAAGTTTGTTAAAAAGTGGAGACAGTAATGCAACCTCGTCTCTGGACAAGAGTGAGGTGGTTGTGAGGGAGCAAGAACAGCCTAAGAATGTGACAGAGGCGGAAGCAGAGTACAATGCACTGCTTGATGAATTAGGTCCTCGTTTTCTTGAATGGTGGGGCACGAGGGTGGTCTGCTCAACTAAACCCTCCTGCAACATATTAACAATAAGTATACCCTAAACTACACTTATGCCATAATAAAAGGTTTATCCTTATAACTGACCTTGTTCAAATCAACCAAAGTAAATCCTAAATCATCTGTCCGTACACCCGTATTGCCATCAACCCAGTTACACTTGAACATAGACACTCTAAACGTGACATAATCAATTTCCCATATGTCTTGTATGACTTCTCCCTTCAACTGAACTACACCATCAGCATCAATATGACCAAGCTTCTTTAAGACTCGTGAGCGATTCTTTAGTTCTTCACAAAATTTTTGTAGCTGAAAAGAGTTCAAGTAATTAAATAGTAATGCATTCAAAATTTGTCATGAATAAAATCACCATATTAACAATCTATCAACTGCTAAGTCGTTAATTTGCAAAGTCACATGGAGATTGAAAACATACAATTCAATGCAGACATTATCTAGACTCCCATCAAGTTCCAACCTTATGTGATCTGACTTAATATGTAAATCTAGCAAAGAAAGACAGATTAGCAAAGTCATACCTGGGAATCCCGCATTTTTGTCTTCAGTTGCTGAATTTCATGATTCACTTCTGCTTTCCTCTCAAAGCATTTAATTTGATCCACATCTTGATGCTAAATTGCAACAAAATATTAAGGTAACACTCAAACCAAAGGAAAAGCAACATCACATTTAAGGTTAATATTGACGATTCTTTTTTATCCATGCCGTTTGTGATTATCGCTGGGATATGTTCTTTTGAACTCAAGGTTTCAATGGCTCCTTGATTATCTAGTCGATGTGTAATCAAGCATCTCCCAACTCCGTTCAGGGACATCACGATCTTTCCTCTGTGAGTATTCACTATGCATTCTCCGTGTATATTTTCAATACCATTTTAATGTCATAAGGGTCAAGAGAAAAGAAAGAAGGGATGTTTGTATTTTTTTTTCAGAAGGGTTGTTAGGATGGATGTTTTTCCTAAAAGGGTTTTTTCGAAGAATGGATGTTTGTATTTTTTTTAGAAGGGTTGTTAGAATGGATGCTTTTTCCAAAAGGGTTTTTTTTTTAAAGAATGGCTGGCCAAGATGGGCTTTGGTGTTTAGGGTTATTAAACAAAGCATATTTGCTACAAAGAAGCTATCATCATGCTTTAGCCTTTTTGGAAGGTGGAGTGATGACTTGGGGTCGGGCTCTGATTAAATGATCCCTCCTGAGCCGCCTTTCGGTTTTCAACCACCATGGATGGTTCAGCCACCCTCAAATACTCGGCCAATAGCCACTAACCGTGGGGGGTCATCCTCAAAATATAACTCACACTGGTTTGGTACATCAGTGTTAGTCTGTTCCCCTGAGGGATCTGGAGTAGCACAACTCCTTTTAGTGCTGACTCGAACACCATCACGAGCAACTGCAGTCTGTTGCTAAGAACGAGCCAAAAGTTCAAACTTTTGTTCAAACTCTTCTCGAATGTTCTTCAATTTCTCTTAAAACTGCATCTCCATTCTCTGCATAGCCTCTTGACTGCAAGAGTCAACAGTACTGTTCCTCGATGGTCGTGCACCAAAGAAAACTCGGTGACTCCAAGAACCACCAACACCACGCACACGGCCTGCGTGCTCTGGCCTTCTTATGGCCGTTGTGAGGATATCATCCCGACCATGGGAAACAAATGAGCCTTGGGTGGTCTGCTCAACTAAACCCTCCTGCAACATATTAACAATAAGTATACCCTAAACTACACTTATGCCATAATAAAAGGTTTATCCTTATAACTGACCTTGTTCAAATCAACCAAAGTAAATCCTAAATCATCTGTCCGTACACCCGTATTGCCATCAACCCAGTTACACTTGAACATAGACACTCTAAACGTGACATAATCAATTTCCCATATGTCTTGTATGACTTCGAAGTAACTCAGATCGTCTTTCCAAAATGAGCACCTAAATGTTAATTATTTGAACAAGTGACCCCAACCTTAGATTTCAATCTATTCCTTCAACCGAATAATAATTCACTCTACAATTAAGATAGTACACCCGTATTGCCATCAACCCAGTTACACTTGAACATAGACACTCTAAACGTGACATAATCAATTTCCCATATGTCTTGTATGACTTCGAAATAACTCATGGATGCTGTAATGGGATTTTTATCTTTAGAACTAGCAAAATGCACAGTCTCAGCCTGAATTGTAGCCCCACTATTTTGTACTCTACTTTTGTCATCTTCTATCTTTGTATAGAAACAATATTTGTTAATGTCATACCCACCAAATGTAATGACATCGTTGTTAGGCCCACGAGCGAGTCTCAAAAGTGTATCAGAAGCATTAACCTCACCGTAAACCTTTTTCTAAAACCAAGCTAAGAAACTCTTGTTATGTTCATTCAATACCCATTTCTCATTCATTAAAGCCTAAAATGCTATTTTAGATGGTCCAAAATACAAGACCCAAAATATAGGAAACCTATACTAACATGATATATATATATACAAGACATAAGAAACATAGCTAAAAACAATGTATGGCCCATGAGAAGCTCAACTTGGGCCTGCAAAGCCCATCGAGCCCATTGGGCCTTGACTGGCCCAAACCTTTATGTCTAGCCAACTCCTCTTGGCTCCTTCAATGTGTCACCCCTTGCCTTCCCAGGCATGATTCCATCATCAAGAATGCCAGAATAATATGACTCATGCTCCATTTTCGTCCGTTGCCAGTTTCGGTGTTGGAGGAACATCACCTTTGAACACCTATTTATCTCCTTACTTTAGCATCCCCATATGATGCAAAGAAGATTTTTCAATCTTGTTTGAGGCATGGAAACTTATCTTTTTCTCCCCATTAAGATCCACACCAGCTTTCTCAAAAATTCTAGATAGTAATAAAGCATAGGGTATTGGACCATTCTCCTTTCTCCTAGCCTTCCAAATACAATCATTCACAACTGAAACCCAATCTATCTTTACCTTTTTCTTAATGACGTGCATAAGAAAAATATCATCTCTAGACATTTAAGCATGGTTATGAAGCCTAGGTTTAAGCATCCAAGCTATTATAAAAGAAATCAACCTATAGTTTTTCTTCATACCTCCAACCAGAAATTTGTTATAATTTGTGGTCTTCGGGTTCCTTTTGTTGAGATTCATGGAGTGGAGAATCAGCTCAAACTTGGAGAATGAAGGTTTTGATGATAACAAAGTGTGGATTCTGAGAATCAAAGCTGACCAAGGACATCAACAAGTCAAAAACAAAGTCAAGAAGAAAATGGCTATTATGATGTGTAATAGGAGTAGCTCATAGGAGTAGCTCATAAGTTGTATTGTTTTGTTGAGCTTATTTTGCATGTGTGTGCTTTGTGCATGGGTTAATCTTTATCTAATCTGACTAAGAGTGAGTATGATGATGAGTTAGAAACTTGAAAAGTTATTTTCAGACATTAAACAAAGCTTTTGAAAACTGACTCAAAATAATCGATTATCATTAAATATAATTGATTATTCCAGCAATAGGTGAAAAGGATGTCTTGCTGTAATAATCGATTATTTGTGAAATAATCGATTATCATAGGAATCACTCTCTAGAATAATCGATTGTAGACCCCTAAAATTGTCCGGGTCGTCCAAAATAACCGATTTTAAAAGCCTTTTTTCCACTAGTGGGGCTGTGGTGGTCGGGGGCGGGGCAGAGGCCGGGGTTCGGGAGCTCGCAGGACCAACCCTCTGGCTCCCAACAAAATGCCAGCGGCGTAGTGCAAGCCGAGATAAGCCAGGAGACAGGGACAACCCCCTTACGGGGAGTAATTAACACAATCACAGGTGGTTTCGCCAGAGGAGGCGCCAGCAGTTCGGCCTGGAAGAGGCACCTACGGAATATCAATTGCATCCACTCTACCACCTCGGCCTCGCACCAAAGCTCACCGCCGATCTCTTTCTCTGACGAGGACTACGCGGGTGTCAGCCCTAACCAAGATGATCCCATGGTTATCATTGTGGAAGTTGCCAACTGAGAGGTAGAGAAGACACTCATCGACCAAGGGAATTCGGCCGACGTCTTGAACTGGCCGACGTTCCTTAGGCAAGACGTCCCCCATTCTCTCATCCAACCTCACACGGAACCCCTAGTCAGCTTCGCAGGAGAGCAAGTTCACACTCGCGGGTACGTAGACCTACTGACAACTTTTGGGGTACCTCCAGATACAAGGAGAATCATGGTTCGGTACCTCCTCGTAGAGGCCAACACCTCCTATAACATCATCATCGGGAGACCAACCCTGAATCAGCTCGGAGCGGTGGTATCCACTCCACACCTCACCATGAAGTTCCTAGGGAATGACGGTAAAATCATCTCTGTCAAGGCAAATCAGAAGACAACTCGGTAGTGTTACGCCGAGAGTCTGAGGATCTCCTCGTCCAGTAAGCAAAGCAAGGGAGATCCTCCCACCGTAGCTCACATCGCCCGCAGGGAGGCCACTGACCTTGGCCCGAGGACCGATCCCTGTAGTCTTCCTTAAAGTTCCATTTCTTTTTTTTGTATTAACGAAGTTATGCACTCTTCCCTGCCTCAGTCTTTGACTGAGAGGATTTTTAACGAGGCACACAGACATAATCAATAAAATGACTCATTTTGCTCAATTCGTATTCTAATTTTATGTTTTTTATAAAGGACGAGATCGAACCAACCTCTTTCACTCTCACCGAGGTCGAGTACGAACCTTAATACTCTTATCCGAAGTCAAGTTCGAACCTCGTGAAAATTCACCTAACTCTATTATGAGGTCGAGTACGAACCTTAATACTCTTATCCGAGGTCAAGTTCGAACCTCCTGAAAATTCACCTAACTCCATTATGAGGTCGAGGACGAACCTTAATACTCTTATCCGAGGTCAAGTTCGAACCTCCTGAAAATTCACCTAACTCCATTATGAGGTCGAGGACGAACCTTAATACTCTTATCCGAGGTCAAGTTCGAACCTCCTGAAAATTCACCTAACTCCATTATGAGGTCGAGGACGAACCTTAATACTCTTATCCGAGGTCAAGTTCGAACCTCCTGAAAATTCACCTAACTCCATTATG